CTCTGTGCCGCCGACCTCGCGCTGATGATGTCAGCAGTGAACATGGCTGCACATCTGTGTCAGTGTGTCTGGGTCGTATCGACTGATCCACCAACAGCTTTTTGTGGATTGCTGTGTTTGTCTTGTAACAAACATATATTTCATAAACGTGGGTTGTATTGTTTTTTATTTATTGTTTTTTGGGGGGTATTTAAGTATTTAATGTATGTATGTGACATGTGACAGGCGGGGTATGACAGGAAATGAGGGGGAGACAGACTTGATGTTTCTATTCCTAGTTGGTGTCTTAAAGGTGCCTCTCGGCATATGTAATAATAATAATAATAATAATAATAATAATAATAATATAAAGTTGTGTATTATTGTCCACCAATGACTGAAAGTAACTGAGAGTTGTACGATCTGTGAATTAAAAGTCGTCAGTGACAAAGATTTTCTTTCAGAATCGGCAGTTTGAAGGAAACTAATTATCATTTGTCCTAATTAGTCACTTTCAGTCGATACAATATATGATTTATATTAATAAACAAAAAATTATTATGAATATAATGTTAAATAATCGTGTAAAAACAAGCAAAATTTTACATTTGTGCCTCAAATGTTTGTGAAAACCTGCTGCTGTGAAGTCGTGTGTGTGTGTGTGTGTGTGTGTGTGTGTGTATATATTTTATTCATAATAGTGTTGCTACTGGAGCAGAACCTGCCTTTATACACACACACACACTGATGTATATGAGGACATTCAGGGGAACAGACGAGGCCATTGATTGGCTCTCACCCTGTTGCTATGGGAGTTTAAGCTGCTCTTTCATTGGCCAAGCCTTGGACCAGGCTCGACTGCCGGCCGGCTGTCTGTCAGCATCCCATCGTTGTCATGGCAACAGACAGGAAGCAGGGCAGGAGGAGGAGAACGTTGTTGTTGTTGTTGTTGTCGCTGATTTGAACAGCAGAAGAAGAAACTCCTCTGTCGTTTGTTTTCTCTCTCAGAGGATGATCCAGCTGCAAACAGAAAAACTGCACATTTTGACCTGCGGCGGTACGACACAGCTTAACGCTCACACACACACACACACACACACACACACACACACACACACACACACACACACACACACACACACTCATGGACAGGGTCACTGGGTAGCGACCTGCTAATCCTCCACAGAAAGATGATTATGAATGTGACATGTTTGGATGAAAATGGGGATGAACATGTAGAGAAAGAGAGAGTGTGTGTGTGTGTGTGTGTGTGTGTGTGTGTGTGTGTGTGTGTGTGTGTGTGTGTGTGAGTTTGTTGTAAAGACATTTCTGGGCTTTATTCACAAATCATCAACTATTTCCGACTGACTGTTTCTGTTATGGCTCCATTCAAATGCAAAAGCTTCTCTCTCACACACACACACACACACACACACACACACACACACACACACACAGGGTGAGAGAAGATGGTGAGCTGACAGAGATAATGATGATGATGTCTGCAGACGCCAGTTAAAGATGTATAATAATATAAAGCACATATTTAGTGTGAAGCTTAATGAGACGTTGAACAGCAGCTGAGCACACACACACACACACACACTTCTCGTCTGCGCCTCCTTCCTGTCTGTAAGCGCCTCAGTAACAGTGACTTTGTCTCGGTTCGTCCGGCGGGGGCGGGGTTACGCTGGGCCGACTCTGGCCCACAGCTGCGTCTGTCCGACCTTCCCTGCAGGAAGGTGAGACGGACGAGGTGTTTACTGCTCCGCCCCCTCTCTGACGGCAGAGTAACCAGAGGAACACAGAGGTTTTATTCTTTCTCTTACTCTGGTACAATAGTGACGAAGGTTGGACCAAACAAATAACAGAGGACACAACAAACACGACTGAGCCACTCACACTTTGTGTTTTCACTCCTTTCATTTACAGACGTTTGTATAGATTTACGTTCAGCTGCTCAGAAATGCACATGAGGGGCAGTTAGTTTTTATGACAGAGATGGTTTTTATTTTATTTATTCCACCCATCAGATATCTGATGGAGGAGAGCGTCGGTGCTCCGGCCACGTACGATGGGTGAGCTGACGGGACGTGATTTTAACCTGGTCTCGCTGACAGATAACTGGTGACCCATCCGCTCAGCACCTCTGTGCAGCCGCTCTGACTGCTGTGCAGGTTTTAGTCCCGGTCTCTGTCGTGGCAACGATGGCACCACGCCTGGCAACCTCGCCGTGACAACAAGACTCCTGGAAACTGCTGCTCCAGACGATTGTAATATTAGAAAGAGTTGCATCACGGCCTGAAACAGCAGATAGTTCTGTTTACACTCAGACGTTGAGACGAAGTGTATTTCTGGAGAAGTTGTAGGAAAGTTTTTGACGCTTGTTGAGATGATTTTAGGGAAATTTGTGCTGTAATAAAGAAAGGAGCAGCAGCAGGTAGATGTAATGAGGAGTTCTCTCTCCTCATGCGTTGTCAAACTTGCCAGACCGGTTTCAACCTCCTGTATGACACAGATATTATCTCCTCCATCATGACTGGAGCCTCAGGGAGGTAATTACCTCCAGGCTGAGGGTGGGAAGAGAAGAGGAGGAGTGGCAGCCAAGGCAGGAGGAGAGAGAGAGCGAGAGAGAGAAAAGGAAGGATGAGAGAGAGAAAAGGAAGGATGTAGAGAAGAAAGGAGAAGAGGCGGGGAGGAGTTAGTGGAGCTTGTGATAATGAGAGTAAAGTTCCCCAGACAGGAGTTGCATAAGCACCTCTGACCCAGAAACCCTCCACAGCTGGACTCAACTCACCCCGAGGAGGAGAGGGAGGAGGAGGAGAGGGGAGGAGGAGGAGAGGGAGGAGGAGAAGAGGGAGGAGGAGAGGGAGGAGGAGGAGAGGGGAGGAGGAGGAGAGGGAGGAGGAGAAGAGGGAGGAGGAGAGGGAGGAGGAGGAGAGGG